TCTTCCAGAGGTCCTGAGTTCAAATCCCAGCAACCACATGGTGGCTCACAACCATCCGTAATGAGATTCGATGCCCTCTTCTGGTGTGTCTGAAGACAGCTACAGTGTACTCATAAATAAAGTAAATAAATCTTTAAAAAAAAAAAAAAGTTGTCCTCGATGTCACACAGACACTTTCACACATGTACACATACACACATACACAATGGAAAATATATTTAAAACAGCAAGATGGAGAACTGATTTAAGGAAGAAATCCTGGCATCAACCTACAGCCTCCACATGAACCCATGCAGTCTAGCGCCTGCATACACTACACATGTGTACACAGCAAACTCGCACACGTGTGCACAGGTGCACACACATACACACACACAGTAACTTCCTTTACATATTTTTTTTCAGTGCTTGAGTTTTACGAATGCCTTTGTTTTCTGCCTAAGGAAACCAAGGACGCTCTAACTTAGAAAGTCAGTGAAGTCACAACTGCACAAGAATAGTAGTGCACCCCCATCTCCACATCCCACACTTACACTCTGGAGGCATGTTCAGAGCATGGCTCAGAGCAGATCCCGGGTGCAGTGGATGATGTGTAAGAGAAGGCATGTACAGAAGCACAGTATCCCACAGGCAGGCAGGCAGGCAGGCAGATGAGAATGGTCCTGCCTTATTGCAGCCGCTCCCACTAGGCCTGTAGTCAGCAACCTGTTTTCTCCCGGTGAGTCCACACCTGTTCCTTCATTCCTGCTCTTTTCCTCAAGATCCACGGAGGCTTTGCCTCTGAGGCCATGTCCCTCGACTCCACCGTTGCAGTCAGCATCTTCATGTTGCCCCTGCCCCAGCTTGCAGCAGCCCAGCCAGGCTTCAAAGTGTCTCTTATCTTCCTGTAAGCAGCTTGCTATTCAGGTGCCTCATGCTGTCTATAAAAAGCGTCAACCCCCAGGGATGTCCAGACATGGATGATATACCTCACCACACTCACTCTTCAGGCATGCTTCCTTCCTTACGTCAGCCCTGGCCACAGATATGGCAAAATTTAGGGCCTGGAGTCTGGAGAGATGGCTCAGCTGTCAAGAACACTGACTGCTCTTGCAGAGAATTGGGGTTCTATTCCCAGTACCCATCAACAAGGTGGCTGGCTCACAACCATCTGTAACTATAGTTCCAAGGGATCTAATGCCCTCTTCTGGTCTTCATGGGTACTGCATGTACATGGAGCACAGACATACATGCAGGCACTCATATACATAAATGATGGAATAGAACCAATCAATCTTTTGTTGGAGATTCAGGACATGGCTGCACTCTTTCCTTTTTTTTTTTTTTTTCAAAACAAGGTTTCTCTGTGTAGCCATGGCTGTCCTGGAACAGGACACTCTGTAGACCAGGCTGGCCTCAAACTCAGAAATCCGCCTGCCTCTGCCTCCCAAGTGCTGGGGTTAAAGGCATGCACCACCACTGCCCGGCCCATGCACTCTTTCCTTTTGCTAAGGGTTCTTGTTCACATTTTTCTCACTTCCACAGATTCAGATTTCTCAAGTCCCAAATGGAAATCTCAACCTTTCTAAACTTTTCTTTCACCTTCCCCATGTTTCTCCATCTTCAAACTCCACCATGAAACCACACATTATTTCTCCCTCCCATGATCCCATCCAACCTCCCCCCCTCAAATCTGCCTCTCAGATCTGTCCAGAGCTGGGCCCTTTCTTGCCACCTCCTCACCAACCTGGTTCCTTCTAAAGGTTTCCCTGTATTCTGTCCTCACCTGTCCCCAGTCCTCTCTCTGTCAGGGACATCCTACTCCTTGAGATCAAGCATTTGATCCTCCCTCTGGTCCTTGAGACTGGCTCTTCTTCCTTCATCCTCTTGGAATTAAGATGCTTCTTAGACTCGTCTGCTGCCACATGTGACATCAACGTTATTCATTTTATTTGTTTAAAACTATGTCTCGGGAAAAAAAAAAAAAAGCCGGGCGGTGGTGGTGCACACCTTTAATCCCATCACTTGGGAGGCAGAGGCAGGCGGATTTCTGAGTTCGAGGCCAGCCTGGTCTACAGAGTGTCCTGTTCCAGGACAGCCAGGACTACACAGAGAAACCCTGTTTTGAAAAACAAAAAACAAAAAACAAAAAAACAACAAAAAAAAACTATGTCTCGAGCTGGAGAGATAGCTCAGTGGTTAAGAGCACTGGCTACTCTTCCAGAGAGGTCCTGAGTTCACTTCCCAGCATCTCATGGTGGCTCACAACCATCTATAATGAGATGTGATTTCCTCTTCTGACGCATGCAAATGGAGCACTCATACATTAATAAATAAATAAATAAATAAATAAATAAATAAATAAACGCCCCTATGTCTCTTCCTATCAGAATATAAGCTTCATAAAAATATGGATTTTAGTCATATCTTATTCACAGTTGTGGCTTTGGTATCTTAAAAATTACCTATAAAGTAGTCACTTAATAAATACTTAACATAATTAAAACAGCTATTTCCAGCATGTACATGCATTTTCCCCCCACCCCCATTGATTCCCTTCTTGGTCTCTTCCTAGATACCTGCTTCAACTCTACCCATTCCCAGCAGCAGAACAGACCCCTCCTCTTGTTGTATCACCCTACCCTCTGTCCAGTGTGCCTCAGACCTTCCCATACACAGAGGAGTGCCGCAGGATCTTCTGGTGCTAAGAGAAGTGAAGAAAACCCCCAACACCATTACTAAGTGCTGTGGTTTCAATTTTTTTTTTTTTTTTGAGACAGGGTTTCTCTGTGTAGCCTTGGCTGTAACTCACTCTGTAGACCAGTCTGACCTCGAACTCAGAAATCTGCCTGCCTCTGCCTCCCGAGGCTGGGATTAAAGGCCTGCGCCACCACTGCCGGGCAATAGTTTCAATTTTTAAAACATACTTTGTAGCAATTCATAATATGTTAACAAAAATGTAGCCCAATAGTGCAGTGTTTTAAACAGTGTTAAAAAAAGCAGAAACTGGATTTCAGGGCTTGAAGGATGGAATCATTTAGTACAGTGCTGAGCCCTCAGGGGGCGTCCAATAAATCTAAATTGATGATGATTGAGAGGAGGCTCCTAGCTCCTCAGTCTAGCAGAGCCCTCCTGAGATAATCTCATCCATCCCTCTGTCTTCAGACAGACCCAGAAACTCCAGCCCACACAAGCAGGCCACCCTCAGTGCCGCTTTCAAAGCCACACACAGAGTGACGGTTCACGGCCTCTCTCTGTTTCTTGATCCCGGTGGGACACT